TTCAAATTATTCCAAGTTTTTAAAAAAAGAAAATAAAACATTAAAAGAAAGCTCAGAACACTAGTATTGACACCAATTGGCCACAGTTGTCTCTCAAATTTAAATAACAAAGCAAAAAAATCAAAAATTGTTCAATCATTTTATTAATTTATTTTTAATTCAATTTTTAATTCTTCTTACATAGTTTTCACTAAAAATGTTTTTTTTTCTAAGTTTTAACTCGAGATTTTTATTTAAAAAACTGACTCGTAGTTCGCTTTTCTTGCTCAAAATAGAACCAAAAATCAAAGTTTTTGAGCTGGTCCTTCGCGACACTGCAAAACGTTTCAAAGGATATGTATAAATGCGGGCTTCACTATCTCGCCATGCTTAAATTTTTTCAACGTGTTATTTTGGCATGTTTAACGAAAGAATTTTTACACGCTTAAGCTATATCGTATATTGCAATGTATAATTTTTTTTTCGATTTTCCAGTTTGATTTAGTGTTTTTTCAACAAGTTTAAAATGATCAAACCAATACTGGGATGCTGCCAGAGCTTCCCTAGGAGCTGCAATTTTTGCCTCCAATTATGAATGCCCAAATTCTTCTAGTTTAGTAGATACGACAATTTTTGTGATTTTTTCAAAATGTTCAGAAAATTTAAATTAAAAAAACTCAATAAACGGGAATTAAAACCCTGTAGTTGCTGCTTTAAGAGTACTCTCAAGCATTGCGAATCTTGCCTCCAAATTTTAGTTCTCAAATCTTTGTAGTTTTTGAGATATGACGTCTTTTATGATTTTCTTTTTTAATTTTTCAATGAACTTAGGTTTTAAAAATTTAAAAGAATAGAATCTCACAACCTTGTAGTTGTGTACTGTAAAGGTTCTTTCAGGAGTTCCAATGTGCAAATTTTATGTCTATATGCGACTGCTCAAATGCTCTTTGTTTTCGAGATGTGACGTTTTTTATGTCATTTTAAAATTTTTCAAAGAACTTTGATATAAAAAACTTAACAAAATTTGAGATTACCAGCCCTGTAATTAGGTGCTATCAGAGTACACTCAAAGGATGCAGTTCTTGTTTCCAATATGTTAATTTTTTATGAGCTGTCAAAAATTCGAAGCAGCGGAGGTGCGTTACACGCTAATTATTTATGATACCGAAATTTGCGTTCAATAAAATAATTAAAGGAGATAACGATTGGTCGGCACAACGAGGCAAGCTAATTGTTCATAATAATTCCCGATACGACTCGATATTCAACGCTTAATGTTTAATTTTGTAGTGTTCGGTAGTGTGACTTTATTTTAGTTTTTATGCAATCAGTTAATATGCTTTCTCTGTAAAGTCCAAATCATTAATATCGCAAAACTAATTGTTTCGGCGCCGCCAAGCTATCTCATGGAAAGATTCAACTTCGGCATCTGAGCTATTCAAACCGCTTTTTTGTGGGTAACAAAGTGATTGTCACTTGTCCAGCGCGTGATAGTGTTTTTTTTCAAGCAGAAAATTGAAAATAGTCTGTTCATTTTCTTGTTAAAAGGAAGGGAAATTCCATGATCGAGCTACAAAAGTAAAATGGTCACGAAAAACGTGAAGGATTTTTCGTTTCAAAAAAAACTTTTGTTTTCTGAATTCCCAGCGGAATAAAAAAATTACCTATTAATCTGATTTTCACTTAATGGGATAACTTTTGGGAATAAAGTTCCAATCATAAACAGTTCTTGAAGTTCAAAGAACTTTAAAGTGATTTATTCTTTTCGAATTTCGACAGTTGAAAAATAATCAAAATTTTTAATCAAATTTCTTAAAGTTTTTTTTCGGATTTTTTCGACGTCGACTCAACTATTGGCTATGTTTTGTTCCTTAAATGCATGTTAGACATTATAAAATGCGTTTCAGGGAAATATATTCAAAAATTATGTTTCTTTTTGCGTCGGAATTTTGTGAAGTGATAATTTATGGTGAAGTGAACTATTCATGCCGGGTTAAATACGCGGAATTGCTTGTCGCCTCTTTTCTTCACTCTAATATAAAGTATCTTAGCATTAAATAGGTTCTTGGAAACAAAACTTGAAAGCATATAAAAGGAAAACAATTTTCCTCGATGAAAGAGTTCTTACATATTCGGCCGAAATTTTTCCTCCGTAAATAAAATAATCAAACAGTAAAAATTTGTTTGCGTCATTAAGTTGAATCGTTTTTTGTAATTTTCTTTTAAGTTTCAGCTCTTATCTCAAATTGATATATTTGAGGATACAAACGTTTAAAAATTTCATCAAAAAAGAAAATTTTAAACACTATTTGTCCCAGGTTTCGACATTTTTTTAACAGATCTTTCTAAGTGTAACACTTTCATCATCCATTTTTCTTGATCACGAATAGGTAAGCATGCGGAGAGAGTTTGTGGAGTGAACAAAAGGTTTTTTTTTGAAACAACCAAAGACAAACACTGATAATTATTACTTTTCCGGCTCAAAAGCTCTGCAAAATTTGTATCGACCTTCTGTTTTTTTTTTCAAGTTTTCGACTGCTTTAGTCGTACGTGGCCTTGTAAAAGAAATAGATGATCAAGGGTTTTTACCGCAAACGTTGATTTGTAACGGTAAAATATGATCTCATGTATTTAAACTCCTTCATCTAAATAATTATCTGTAGAGATTTGTGTTTTTTGATGAATTTAGGGTCAATATTTTTTGTAACTAAATATAATTGAATGTCCCGATGTCCTGCAATTTATGTGAAAACAATTTTTCGCCGGTGTAGTTTTGTTCATTGTTTTTCCGTTTGCCTAAATGCCACTCTGAAGTTTTACTTGCATATTTTCAAATTTTGCACACTTTTGGCAGACATTGTGTCAACAGGACCTGTGTAAGTAAGGAATCTGTTCATGTTTTCACTCAAAGGCCATATAAAACCACCGTTAAACAATGTCTGTTTCCAAGTATTTTTTTTACGGCGAAATGGTTTTTCCCTACATTTTTATTACCTTGCTTGCATGTTTTTTAACCAATTTATTTGCTTGATTTTACTGCATATTTTTAAACGGGCGTTTCTGGGGTATATAACTGTCAACGGTTTTCAGAAACAAAGATTTTTAAATTTGTGTACAGAAACAAAGATTTTAAATTCGCTTATTGAAACTGGAAAGAAACGTTGTATTCGGGTGTTTTTGTTCCGACCATTGAAAATGGGGAGGAACTTCGTATTCGAGTGTTTTAGTTTTTTTAAAACATTTTTAAAAAATTTTACGCAAAATCAGATACCACAAAAAATCATCAGACAGGTTCGAGTGATATATCGCATTATAGCCTTTTTAGTCGTGATTCGAACGACCTAAAAAATTTCAAAATTTTTTTCTCAGTTACGATAAAAACTGATTTGAATTTTTTGATTTTTTAGTCTTATTTCGAGCAAAAAAGCGAGCGAGCAGGCGTATAATTGGCTTTTTTATAGAAGGAGAAAGAGCCTATTCAAGCCCTTATTTTTTAAATTTTGCTCTACTTTGATTAGTTTTTGAAGTTTTTTAGCGCCATTTGGGATTCAAAAAAAAATCTGCAAAAAATTTTCTTTTGTGTTTCTAGTTATTTTTCAACAAAAACTGTTGTCCATCTTGCCAATTTTACAAAGGGAGACGAATATGCTCAAGTTTTAAGCTTTCGTCCAACCTTTTTATCAAACTACAACAAAAAAAATGACATTCAATTGAAAAAAGTTTTGTAGTTTTTTTTCAAGAATATGGTCGGAACATTTTGTGCTATTTCCACAGCAACCGGCTATCCTGTTTAATTTTGTATATTTCTTTGTTTTCCACGCAAAATCAGGTACCACAAATAATCATCAGAATGGGTCCAGTGATATGTCATATCAAAGCCCTTTCAATCGAGTAGAGTAGAGCGAGCCAGTAGGTTTATTATAGAAGACTTTGGCAAACATTTTATCAAAATTGCAAATGGCGTAGAAGCTACGCTTGATTAGTTGCGCTTCGGAGTTTGCCCGTAGTTGAATATGCGGCCAGTCGCAAATAAGTACCAAGTGTTATATGCATCATTTATCCTCTTTCTTTGTGGCCATATTAAATTTCTTTCAACATTCAAACTATCACATAAGCATGGAGTAGCTTGGTAAATTTTTGGCTATGCTTTGTTGAAGCTATGTTTGCTCTAAAATTGGCTCTATATGTTACAGTTTTATTTTTCCAGCTTCAAAGAAAAAATTCGTTTCATTTCTGCCACCTTTCAAAGCACCGCGGCTTCAAATCGGCCGAACTATTTTTTTTTCAGGTTTTATCGCATTTAAGTCATTAATTTTGGTTCTCCTTTTTGATTTGTGTTATGAGTGTCTTTAATTTTGTAAGGTTTCATTTTATTTTTCAAAAATATCTTTTTTCAAAAAATCGATCAAGTGAAAAATGTCATTTGATTTGCAGCATATGATAAATCGTGTATCGTTTGATGAATAATAGTCTTAGTAAATTTAGCGGGATTTCCTAGGCAAAATCTAGACATTGTCTCTTTTTTAATATTTGCCATTTGTGCAGCTATACCACCTTCACTTTTCAGCTTTTTAAAACAAAAGAGCTCTCAAACCTTTCATTTTGCTTTCTTTAGTGCATTTGGTGGCTTTCAATTTTTAAAATGCTCTCTAACCTTAGCGCCAAAAAGTCTTTTTTGTTAGCAAATTAGTTTCAGGGGTAGAAATTCAATTTCATTGTTAGTAGATTGCTATTAGCATCTGTCAAATAATGAGTCAATTTGCTGTCAAAAATTACTCAAACCGTTTTGTATTAAGATTCAAATTCCACGTACACTTTGCTAAAAATGCTTTTAAGCGGATCCATGTTGTCTTAGGTTGCTAATTACAAGGCTTCATTAAAAAATTGAAACGGCTGCAATCTTATTCAAATTTTTATTCATTTCTTTATTTGAAACAGTTCAGTTCATTTTTAATTTAATTAGACATCTTATCTATATAATTGCCCGCTAGTTGTATCCAAATTCATTTTGCAATGTTTAGATTCTACTCGCAATTTTCGATATGTTACCCGACTGCAAAGCGTCCATATTGCGATTCACAGAAGTATCGAAATTGATAGAAGACAACTCGGAGAAATTTTCTAATATTCGTACATCAAAGCAGCTTCACTTCACCGAGTTCTCCTTCAGATTTCTCACTTCCTAATAGCTTAACGATTTTAATTGCTCATAAATTTCGAAAAAACACTTTATTAATATTTTTTTCAAAAGGTTAAAAAGTTTTAAATTAAAAAACAATCCCGTTTAGTTTCCATTTTGTGTTTAGTTTACTTTTTCTGAAACATATTATGTACAGCATTAAGTCAAATATCTAAACCTTGAAACTAAACCTAAGCAAGTCCGAAAAGTTGTGGAAAATATTGGGTTATAGAAAATATTTGTTTGTTACCCAACTTATTACCTTCGTTACACATCCACAGATTTAGTTATTTAAAACATGGCCAGTGCTCCCGGAGCCGGAGATCCGCACATCATTAGTTCCAGTCGAAACCCCTCCCGAAGAAGCAGTCTAGCCGCTGTCATCGGAGTCAAGTACAAGACATCGGGAGGCGGCGCTGCCGCGGGACTCAGACGCCGCTCTTCCAACAACATGGTAGTACCGATTGCAGTGTCACAGAACGATATATTGGACAGCCATCGCTACAGTTCCGACGATGAAGATGACAATTCGTCCAATCAGGACCAGGAGGATGTTTACGTGTCCGGTAAGTAGCTTATTGTTTTATAAGACAACTGGAAACAAAAGTAGTTGGTTGCTGTACAAGCAGCACAGAAAGTTCCGAGCACAGATATTAAAGAATTTTGCTCCTGATTATGCAAAAAACTAATGCTAAAACGAATCGCATCCATATTTTCTGGTGGCTTTTCTTAGCTGCTAAAGATTTGGTTGAAGGAAAATAAGAAGGTTTGATAACTTCGAGTTCTCCTGATGATTATGTACACTTTTTGCGGCGGGTGTTTGGCCCAAGCACAAGGGTTCATTTCTGCTTTTTAGCTTTCAGCCGACTGTTTTTAGAGGATTTAAATCAGAATTGTAATCTACAGCTAAAAAGGAAATAAGTGGTAAATAATAGTGGTGCATACAGACAGTGTTAATAGTTGGTGCATTTTAAATCGGTTAGAATTATATAGAAAGAGTTTTGTTTGCATGATAGAGTTTAAGGTGTCTTCTTTCTGATTTGTGTCTCCTGTCAGATTGTTTCGACACTCCTACTTTAAAGATCTAGATTGTTTTTCGATGTGAATGATTTCATTATTATTGATTTCGAACATTTTGTCGACCTTTCTTAAGGTCGATCAAATTGATTTTCCGAGCGGTACCAGAACACCTTAAAGACCCTATTTTGACCAAATATTTTGCGCCATTTTGGCCGAAAAATTAAAAAAAAATACAGGTCAAAAATACCGTTTTCGTGCTCTTTTTGGAAAATTTTGACCTAAAAAATTGCTTTTTTTGGCGCACGCGCCCTTCAAAATTTTACATTTGTTCGGCCTAAAATGATGTCATAAAATAATACCATACCCTTTGGTTGGTAAGGGACTCTTTATGTCATAAAATCTCTCCCAATTTTATGGAACGATATGTTTCTGCTAATTTTGGATATTTTCACCTAATTCTTGAAAAAAAATGTTCTTAAATCTAATTTTTCCCAAGTTGAAAAACGCAAATTTTTTAATTGTCTTGTTTTTTTGGTGAAATTTCTGCAGAAGATGGTAGGTTTGAATTTTGCGGGCTACTCTTGTAGTTTTGATGTAGGTTATCTTTATTGTCAGTCAATAAAATCCCCGAAATCTGGGTAAAAACACAAAAAAAATCTGTCAGTGCTTGGCTCTTTTCACTGTACGTCTAAACAATGTCATTTTTATTTGTTCATGATGAGGCCATTTTGACTCAATCTACTTTAATTTGCTTCAATAACATAGAAAATTGTCTTTGTCAGCAGCAAACTTATCAACTGTCTGTTCAAACAAAGAATTTTTAAAGCTGAGCAGCTTTATGTTTTATGAACAAACAGCTATAAGCAATCAACCTTACGAGCAGCTTCTTAGTCAGATAAACTTTCTTCAAACTGTTTCGATTTGGCAAAATAGTCTCTAATAACAATAGCAATCAAATTAATTTGTCATGTGCTTGAAAGTTTAAGCTAAATTTTAAAGCTTAAGTTACTTTTCGAAAAAAATCTAGCTGGACCATTTAATTCTATAAAAATTTCGGGATGGTTTTGGCCCATGTGAACAATCTCCCCCTTTAAATAGACCATGTGACCTATGTCCCCCGTAAAATCAAACAACAAATTCAAGTTATGATACAGGGCATACAGGGATCAAACAAATCTGTTCGAAAAATTCCGATGATTGAAATTTGAAGACAAAACTTCCAACAAATTCGAGTTTTCTAAAAAAAAACTCATAGAATTTTCCACTTGTGGAGATGAAAAAAGCATAGAATGTTTACCTTCCTGAAGAAGTGTAACCTCGAGAACTAGTCGCTAATATGAATTAACCTACAGAAAATACTGACATCTCTCTAATTACCTTAAGAAATCTGACGCCATCTGATAAATTTCGCCATCACGATGCGATAATGGCATGCCATTTTTCATGCAGTTTAAGAAGCTGATAATCGCAGCTTGATGTGGAATTTCACTCGAATTTATCAGGTTTTTGTGGTAAAAACTTAAATGGAAAGAATACCTGCCTTAAATGCTCTTTCCTATTGATCCTAGCAATAAAGCAGCTTATCATCATCTTAATAAAGGAAAATTTTCATTTTTACTGCAGTTATGAGTCAAAACGAAGCATGTCGGTTTTAATATTTTGTTTATCCGAAATTCGAGAAAAAACGTGATTTTTTAAATACATTAGGCAGGGGGTTTGTTTTCTTAGAGAAAGTTTTACGGGCGAAATGATGATTTTTTTTTAGAAAAAGCAATTCAATTTTGCTTTGGAAAAAGCATTGAAATGGCGATGCGAAGCAGTAGATTGCAATTCTTGATTTTGACTTTTTAAAAGTAAAATTTTTGCAAACAACGAAGGCTAATCAAAATAAGTTATCTTCTCCTGAACAAACTTAAAAAGATCAAATTTAGGCTTATAAAAAAACAAGTTGCTCGGATCAGGGCAAAGTGACTGTTTTGAGGTCGATGGAGTAGTGTTCACTTTAAAACACGGATAAATTTTTCAAAAATAATGAAAAAAATTCAATTTTTTTTTGAATTTTTTTTCAAAATCTTACCCCCCCCCCCACGCTATGTAAAGTACAATGTGATATATTCTGCAAAACGCAATGTATTAACTACACTAAATGGCATGACTCAATTCAATTTGGAACGATTTCTATGACGGATTATATCTCCGCTTACGCGTTAATATCGCGCATTAATTGTCCAAAGTTGGCCAAAATGGCAATCGTTCAACCCCCATAACTGATCAAAAAATGATAACAGGTAAAATATATTCTCAAATTTAAGCTCAGGACAACAAAAGTTTTTGAATGATATAAAAAAATCCCGTCAAAAATGGCTAGTGAAAAAGTGACTGAAGAAAAAAACCCACCCCGAGCACAAATATTCCGTTACTTTTGTACGAAAATCAGAACAAGACTGCTCGTATCAGGGCGAAGCCCCGAATGTTCCGACTGCCGTTTAAGGTTTATGGAGCAGTAATAACATTAATAAAATTAAATGTAAAGAAAAAAAAATTTCAAATTGAAATTATTTATGAAATTCACCGCCCCACACTCACGCCATATAAAATAGAAAAGGATAGATTTCGCCCCTTGCAACGGATTAAATCTCCGCTTGCACGTTAATAGCGCGAAATATATCGCGCGTTAATTGTCCTAAATCGGCCAAAATGGCAATATTTAAACCCCCATAACTTTACAAAAAATGATCACATGTAAAATCTCTTTTCAAATTTAAGCTCATGACAACAATACTTTTTGAATGATATAAAAAAATTCCATCAAAAATGGTTAGTTCAAAAGTCGATATTTGTCTGAGGAAAAAAAACCACCCAGAGCACAAATATTCCGTTACTTTCGTATCGAAAGTCGGAACAACTATAAATAAATGCTCAGTTTCTAAAAAAAATTTCAAAATTCTCTGGTGGTTTGCTTGATAAGAGGGAGAATGATTTAGCTAAATAGCTAGTGGTCCTAGGCAATCGCTGCATCAAACAAGACTGCTCGTATCAGGGCCTTTAATTGGTCTTGAATAGTTTTTCGTGAATGAAATTTTGACAAACTATGATTTTTAGGCTGACAATAATAAATCCAAAGTGTTAAAATGTGAGTTGTACATAGAATTAATGAGACCAGTTAGCTTGCCTCAGTTTAGCTAGGAACGATCTTGTAGTGCTCGATAATTTGCAACGCATAAATATTTAGCGTTACTTTTTAAGAAATCAATTTTTTGCCCACCGACCCTAAAACTTTTATAAAGGCGCCTTTGGCGCCAATATATACTAACTTTGAGGGGGAGCGCGCGCCAAAAAAATGCGATTTTTTTGTCAACATTTTTCAAAAAGTGCCTAAAAACGGCTTTTTTAGAAGTGCCTAAAACGGTTTTGGAAAAAGCCTTGAAATGGCGATGCGAAGAAGTAGACTGAAATTCTTGATTTTGACTTTTTAAAAGTAAAATTTTTGCAAACAACGAAGGCTAATCAAAATAAGTTATCTTCTCCCGAACAAACCTAAAAAGATCAAATTTAGGCTGATCAAAAAACAAGATTGCTCGGATCAGGGCAAAGTGACTGTTTTTGAGGTCGATGGAGTAGTGTTCACTTTAAAACACGGATAAATTTTTCAAAAATAAAGAAAAAAATTCAATTTTTTCTTGGAATTTTTTTTTCAAAATCTTACCCCCCCCCACGCTATGTAAAGTACAATGTGATATTTTCTGCATAACGCATTGTATTAACTACACTAAATGGCATGACTCAATTCAATTTGGAACGATTTCTATGACGGATTATATCTCCGCTGACGCGTTAATATCGCGCATTAATTGTCCAAAGTTGGCCAAAATGGCAATCGTTCAACCCCCATAACTGATCGAAAAATGATAACAGGTAAAATATATTCTCAAATTTAAGCTCAGGACAACAATAGTTTTTGAATGATAAAAAAAAATCCCGTCAAAAATGGCTAGTGAAAAAGTGACTGAAGAAAAAAACCCACCCCGAGCACAAATATTCCGTTACTTTTGTACGAAAATCAGAACAAGACTGCTCGTATCAGGGCGAAGCCCCGAATGATCCGACTGCCGTTTAAGGTGTATGGAGCAGTAATAACATTAAAAAAATTAAATGTAAAGAAAAAAAATTTTAAATTGAAATTATTTATGAAATTCATCGCCCCACACTCACGCCATATAAAGTACAAAAGGATAGATTTCGCCCCTTGTAACGGATTAAATCTCCGCTTGCACGTTAATAGCGCGAAATATATTGCGCGTTAATTGTCCTAAACGGCAATATTGCGCGTTAATCGGCCAAAATGGCAATATTTAAACCACCATAACTTTACGAAAAATGATCACAGGTATATTCTCTTTTCAAATTTAAGCTCATGACAACAACACTTTTTGAATGATACAAAAAATTCCATCAAAAATGGTTAGTTAAAAAGTCGAAATTTGTCTGAAGAAAAAAAAACCAACCAGAGCACAAATATTTTGTTACTTTTGTATCGAAAGTCGGA